ACTCTCAAAAAAAAAAAAAAAGAAAATAGTGTGTACTTAGTGTGTATCCATTTCCTATATGGGCAATCTTCATATTGATCAGAATCATTCCTCTTAACTAAGTATTGGAAAACAAAAATCAAAAGATGCTTTAATTTCCCCACTGGTGGGACATGTGCTCTTGAAATAAATTCTGCATTGCTTTAAGCAGCATGAAGAACTCTTTTTTATCACCTTCTTACTATAATTTTATGTCTTTAGAAAGTGTTTTTTTTTTAAAAAAAAACTGTTAGAAATGGCAGCCACTTTGAGTTTTGGCGTGGGAAAGTGTCTTTAAATTCTTTAGAAAACACCTCTCTGAACGAAGCAATGTGCGTATTTTACTGCAGTTAGGAGAAATAAACCCCATGTGGATTAGGATCCTTTGGAAGAAAAATGTGGGAACATCAGAGATTCGTAACGTTTAGCCAGTGGCACGGCTTAGGCTTTCTCACAAGCACCTTTCCCTTAGCTTTGACCCAGTCTTTTTGGAATGTGGGTTGGAAAGAGGATGGCTTGTCAGGAAAGGCATTCTGTGTCATGGACGAGAGAGAAAAAAGAACAGGAAATCATGGAGGGGTAGAGAGCACCCTACTGGCAGCTAGGATTGTGTTCCTTGGAGATCAGAAGCATTCTTGATCCCGAGTGCCTGCAGCCAGAGGTCACTGGGCTCTGGGAGGCATTTCCTCCAAGAAAGAAATGTTGGACCAGTGATCCAAGAGATACCAGGAAACAGAGGGCAGAGACAAGAACTCCAGACGGGAAGAATAGCCAGCTCAAACGCCTCAAGAGGAAAGATGGTCTGTTTGAGATGTGTAATAAACAGACTGTTAGCCAGTGGCCCCGTTGCCTTGAGCAACTTGTCCCTATGACCTGTTCCCTAGAGAAAGATAGAATGGGGACCAGAAGATGGTATAATGGCTATGTCGCTGGACTCCCATGTAGTTGACTGTGGTTCGAGTCCCAGACCCGGCAGCTAAAACTCACGTTGGGCACTTGTGTGTGCATGCCGAAAACATGAGAGGAGAATGGAGAGGGGATTGCAGTGTGGCCATCTCCCCAGGGAGTGATTTCTCGCTTGTATGTCTCTGTCTCTCCAGTGAGTACACATGCCCTATCGCAAAAATCTCTGAGAGAGAGAGAATGAACTGGGCGTTCCCAGTGGGAGAGCATTGTGCTGGGATTGGGCGGCTTACTTGTGTGTGCATGCCGAAAACATGAGAGGAGAATGGAGAGGGGATTGCAGTGTGGCCATCTCCCCAGGGAGTGATTTCTCGCTTGTATGTCTCTGTCTCTCCAGTGAGTACACATGCCCTATCGCAAAAATCTCTGAGAGAGAGAGAATGAACTGGGCGTTCCCAGTGGGAGAGCATTGTGCTGGGATTGGGCGGCTTACTCCTCGTCTCGCCCTATCGCAAAAATCTCTGAGAGAGAGAGAGAATGAACTGGGCATTCCCAGTGGGAGAGCATTGTGCTGGAACTGGCTCCTCGTCTCGGCAGTGGACTGCCACAGGTCGCTGTGAGCTGCAGCAGGCCTCTTGAAAGCAAAGACAGCATCAATGTGGAAATTAAAGTGTCTTTTTTTTGGTTTTTTGTCATAGGGTATGTGTGCTCCACAGAGAGGCAAAATGAGAAATCATCCCCCAGGGGGATGGCCACACCACAATCCCTTCTCCTTCATTCTCCTCCACACATATACCCAGTGTGATCCCCAAGTCTCCGGATCTGGGACTTGAACTGGGGTCAACTTGTGGAAATCCAGCACCTTAACTACCACGCCACCTGCTGGCTCCAAAAACATCTTTTGAGTTTTGTATTACCAAATCCCTTACTGCTGGAAGTCTTGACAGAACAAGGGAGAGGAAGTCTCTGCAAAGTTCCTACTATAAAAAAAAATCAAACGAGAGAAGTGTAGCATTTTTGTCGGGAAAAGAATGTGAATTATATTAGAGACCTATTTGCAGTTCCACAATAAAAACACTTCAGTTTATGATTTTGATTAGTTCAAGCCAGGCAAAATTGCATTTGAAATCCTGTCTCCTTGCTCTATCCTTATTTCTCTCCTTTGCCCCCGATGAACTGTCTCCCTCTTCCGTGTGAGTTGCTGGTTCCTCTTCACTCTCTCACCGGCTCCCCAGTCCTACAGAAAAAGGCTCTATTATCAGTCATTTATGTTTGACTTAATTTAATTGGCTTTATTGTATCACATCTGAAATGTGTAGATTCACCACCAGTATTCTTTTAAGAACTGTTTATTTAATCTAATTTTTTATTATTATTATTTTAAAACTTGCTATAAGGCACATGTACTCACCAGAGAGAGAGAGAGAGAGAAAGTGAGAAAGCTGGCCGCCAGGTCCAGGACTCAAACCACGGTTAGCCATGTAGGAGTCCAGCGCCTTTACCACCACGCCACCGGCTTACTCCTCAACCACTTTCCAATTTAACATGTTTTATCTCTAATTAGGGAATAGGAGGATTTACCTCTCTGGGAAATTTACAGTATCATCAGGCAAGAGGGGACTCTGGGCAGAGTAGAGTGGACTCCTAGAATCCCCTTTAATCCCATCCAGCTGGCCCTGTGGCAGCCCTAGATCCTGAGGGCAGGACCAGTTTTCTCAAGGTTCTCGTTTCCCTGGGCTGCCCCAGATCAGTAATCCTGACAGTAGTTTCTGAAAACCCAAGGAGGGTCCTGGCTTCTCTCAAAGCCCGGGGATCTATTGCCTGTGTCCACGTGTTTGTCCAGGGGCTGCCCTCTAACTTCACACCTGCTCTTTTTCTCTGGTGTTTCCTTCCATATTTGACGTCCTGTAATATGCTCCCCGCTCCTCTGTTATGTCAGCCTCTGATGTCACTGTAGTGTTTCTAACATCAACACGTGTAGTAGACTGTATGCTAATCTTTAAAAGCAGTATTTACATTGAGCTAGCCCACTGTTTATATGCAATGCCATGATTAGAGAGAGACTGGGATTCAAATCCCGGCTCTGACACTTGCTAGCTAAGTATAAGTAGCCTTGGGTGAATCTATTTCGCTGTCTCCTTCTCTGTGAAAATGAAAACAAACCACATGCAAGCTTCTGTAAGAATGAAATGAGAGTGTACACCCAAAGCCGCAGTCATAGCACCTGGTGCAGAGAGGTGTCTTGTAAGTGTTAGCTGCTAATGTTAGTAATACCTAACTTGGGACCAGCAGTTAGCATAATGGCTATGTCACTGAACTCCCATGTAGCCGACCGCAGTTCGAGTCCCGGATATGGTGGCTTAAACTCACTCCAGGCACGTGTGTGTGCGTGCCCAAGACCCCGAGAGGAGAATGGAGGAGAAGGGATTGCAGCGTGACCGTCCCCCCTGGGGGGTGATTTCTCGCTTTCTGTCTCTCTGTCTCTCTCTTTCTGGTGAGTGCACGTGCCCTATAGCAAATAAATAAGTAAATAAATAAATAAATAAATAAATAAACCTATCCAAATAAATAAATAAATAAAATAAAGTAAAGTAATACCTAACTATGCTATGTGCCAGGAGTCGTTGGAGGTGCTAGAGATGTGAGCCACACAGACGTAGCAGCCACTCTAGCGGGGCTGTATTCTCATGGGGGGAGCATAAATTATCTAAAGAAGCAAGCACACGAGTACAATTATAAATTAGGGTACACAGTCTCAAGGAAAAACATTATTTGTAGTGAGAGAAAATAAGGGGGGATTATTTTCTATTGCGCAGTCTAAGAAGGTCTGTCTGGAAGTGCCCCCTCGGCAGGAGCCAGCCATGTGAGGAGCGTGGTGAACTGCACACCAGGTGGTAGGAACAGCATGGGCAAAACTTCTGAGGAGGGAGAGGGTTCAGAGTGTGTGAAGAGGAGGCCATGCCTGTGCGAACCCAAGGGAGGGCAGAAGAGGCGAGCTTGGGGAATAGCAAGGACAGATGGCAAGGACCTCGGGACCCAAGGTGCACGGCATCTCAGAGACGAAAGCTGAGACCTAGTGGTAATGCCAGCCCCTAAGAGGGTGATTCGTATTGCTCTTGGCATTCATTGTTAAGTGCTCTGAAGAAATCAGGGAAGATTAGTATAGAGAAAAGACGATTTCATTTTGCCTGAAGAGTGTCACCGGTGACCTTCAGCGATGGTATTTTTAGACAGTGGTAGAAAGGGAAGCAGATCCTCACCAGGGCGTTAACATGGAAACAGGGCTGAGGGGGACAGGGAGGGAGTAGGAGGTGTCTCTGTAATGGGCATCCCAGACTCGGATTTCCCGTCATCGCAATCTGGCCCTGAGCCTTCAAGTGATGGCGAATGGATCACCAGTCCTTACCGCAGCGGCATCAGGGCCCGTGGAGCCAAGCTCCCTTTGCCCGGCCAGCAGGAAGCCCGGAAGTCCAGCCCAGTCTGACCTTCTCTCCCAATCGCCCACACAGGTATGCCATCCTCACCAAAGCCACCTGGCCCTCGTGGAGAGGAGACGAGAAGCAAGGCGTCCTGCACCTGCTGCAGTCTGTCAACATGGACAGCGACCAGTTCCAGCTGGGCAGGAATAAAGTGTTCATCAAAGCCCCCGAGTCTGTGAGTGCGCCAGCCCGCAGCCTGTCCCTGGGCCCCTCTGCCACCCGGCCTGCCACAGGGCTGGCTGCTTTTTGTCCTGTGTCCTTTATAGCTTAAAGGCCAACTCCTCAAGAAGCCTTCTTTCCTCTCCCAGCCTCAGTGGGTCACTCCCCACACCCCGACTCACTTGCTGTCCCTCTCCCATCCTTGGGCAGGGACTCTGTGTGTTTCATATGTCATTACAAACCCACAGCCTCCCACGGAAAGCGGCCAGTGGCTATATATAGTGTCTAAGCTAAAAAGGGACTTTGTCCCACAAAGGAGGCTTGGGTACATCTACATTTTCATCTGGGTGACACCAAAGCCTGGATCACACACATGCTCAAGTTTCCTCCTCAAAGGTAGATCCAGTCCCAGGGTGGGAAGTCCCAGGCTTGGACCTTGAAGGCCTAGAGGGAGCCCAGGAGGGACTTCGAGATAAGAGCAGGCTAGAAGGGAAACCGCTGAGTCCCTGGCACACAAACCCTGACCCGTAAGGCATGCACACCTGTGTTGTCAGCTCACACACTGTCAGACCTTTACAGAGTAGAGACACTTCTTTATCATGATTCTAATGAGCATGCACAGAAGGTCTGCATTTAAGCAGGAATCCAGCAAAGCCCCTCCAGACCGTGGATAAAGACTTCTATTGTTTTGGCATGGGCGCTTGCTGGAGAGAGATGGGGGTGTGAAGAGAAATGACCTCTCGGGGCATAGCCACGCCACAGTCCCTTCTCTTCCATTCTCCTCTCAAGACTTTTTTGGGTATGCACACACATGCACCTGGCATGATTTTCAAGCCAAGTCTGGGACTTGAACCATACAGTCAGCCATGTGGGATCCAGCCCCCTTTGACATCTGTGACAGCCACCAGCCCTTGCAAGACATTATATTTTAAGTGGAGAGATTGCTGGAACTTCGGGTTCTACATTTCATGGGATTCTAATTACCACGATAAGACTCCAGTTCAAGAGTCTGTGGTGAACTTGGCAAAATTAGTCATCAGACCAAGGGGAGATAGCATGGAAACTTACAGTGTTGGGCAAAATAGAAAGTCTTGCCTATAAGCAGCTCCTGGTCTCACCGTGAGCTTGCCAGTCCTCTGAGATGGGCCCACAGCTGCTCTTCTGCCTGCCTGAGCCTCAGAAATGATAACTGTAACTGAAGGGCTTCGGGAACCATACTGATTATTAAATAACTAAGCGGCACACATCGATGGAACCCATTTGTGAAAAGTTTGCGGCAGCATTTTTCCACTTGGAGTTATTTGTAGCTTCACAGCAATTGCATTTCCAAATATAAAATGAAAATGTTGTGTCATACGCCATTAAGCAACCCACAGAACAGTTCCTGTTCTTTCTAAAATGGGACGGAGTGATTTATCCGTACAATGCAGAACTCCCTCTGTTGTTTTATACCCGCTTTTACTTGTCGACTTGCTAAATTTTCATGTATAATTAAAATAGCCTCAATGTTTTCAATACTTTTTTTGTTCTTCTGATTCAGTTGAGCCTTGTCTTCTCTATGTTCCTCTTGGGATTTTGGGAACACATGCACACTTGTCTAGCATGTTTTTTAAGGTGCCAGGCCTGGGACTTGAAACACAAAGTCGGCCATGTGGGATCCAACAACCTTAACCATCATGCAACAGCAAGACATTATATTTTAAGTGGAGAGATTGCTGGAACTTCGGGTTCTACATTTCATGGGATTCTAATTACCACGATAAGACTCCAGTTCAAGAGTCTGTGGTGAACTTGGCAAAATTAGTCATCAGACCAAGGGGAGATAGCATGGAAACTTACAGTGTTGGGCAAAATAGAAAGTCTTGCCTATAAGCAGCTCCTGGTCTCACCGTGAGCTTGCCAGTCCTCTGAGATGGGCCCACAGCTGCTCTTCTGCCTGCCTGAGCCTCAGAAATGATAACTGTAACTGAAGGGCTTCGGGAACCATACTGATTATTAAATAACTAAGCGGCACACATCGATGGAACCCATTTGTGAAAAGTTTGCGGCAGCATTTTTCCACTTGGAGTTATTTGTAGCTTCACAGCAATTGCATTTCCAAATATAAAATGAAAATGTTGTGTCATACGCCATTAAGCAACCCACAGAACAGTTCCTGTTCTTTCTAAAATGGGACGGAGTGATTTATCCGTACAATGCAGAACTCCCTCTGTTGTTTTATACCCGCTTTTACTTGTCGACTTGCTAAATTTTCATGTATAATTAAAATAGCCTCAATGTTTTCAATACTTTTTTTGTTCTTCTGATTCAGTTGAGCCTTGGGCTTCTATATCCAAAACCACAACTTATTTTTGGATTTTCTTCATGCCTCCCTCCCCGTTGCTCTATCACCGTAATGTGGCTCTCCTTCCTCCCATCTTTCTACACATGCATGCGTGAACACTCGTACACACACACCCCATGACTTCAGCTCTCTCCTTCCCCTCCACTCGTCCATCTCCCTCCAGCCCTGACATGTGAGCCATTTTACGGAAGTTGGTTTTTAAAATCTTCTTGAGAGGGTCCAGCACATGGCATGGTGTTTTAAGGCACTGGATTCCCACAGGGCCAACCATGGTTCGAGTCCCAGACCTGGAAGCTTGAAAATCATACTGAGTGTGTGTGTGTGCGCATGTGACCAAAATTCCAAGAGGAGAATGGAGAAGAAGCGATTGTGGCATGGCCTTCCCCCACCCCATCCCCCGGGAGTGAGAGGTTCTCACTTTCCCTCTCTTTCTGTCTCTTCCTGTGTCTCTCTGGTGAGCCCACTCTCCCTACAACAAAAATCTTTAAAAACAAAACTTCTTGAAATAGTGCCTTAACTTTTATAGTAAATGTGCTGAGTATACAAAAGAATCTATTTGCTTTAAGAACCCACACCAGACTTCAGGCTCCAAAAGGTTTGTTTTAGGGTTTTTGTTCCATGTGTCCGTTCATACTTTTTGACTTTTCTCTCTCTTTTTCTTGTACCTCCCTAACTAATGCTCTGGGCTTTTGGAAAGAAACCTAAAACCCAGCTACTCTTTAAAATAGTTGAGGAAGTTAGGAATTGTTTGCCTCGTCCTCCTTTCTCTGAGTCACAAGTGTATTTTCTATGACTCCCAAAATAGTTCTGGGAAAGAAGAAGGAAGCAGGACTTACTCAGAAACCCAGTACATAGGATAAGAAGCAGCGGTGCCTGTGTTTTAAACAGGCAAGCCCAGGCCTCAGATTTTTAAGCATTCTGTCCAGTTGCTAAGCCAGGTATTCCATTCCGGGTTTAGAAAGAGGCTCTTCCTGCCTGCGTGCATGGCACTGAAGGTCAGAGTCCTGCGGCCCCTCCCTGGTGCTGGGAGTTGAGCTGTTCCTGCACAGTGAGGGCTGGGCGGAGAGACCGAGTGGCCGGGGGAGGTGTGGCTTCTGCTCAGACCTGGGAAAACAGAGACATCAAATCAAGCCCAGCTGCCTTCAGACCAAATGCACTTGTTTCCCGCGGGAACATTTTCACAGTGATTATTCATCATCTTTCCTTGGGTTTTGATTGGTCCATTTTATTTTTTTCCTAGAGAGTCATGTACACCACTTCCAGAAGGGACGGGCAAGTTGTCCACCATGTTAGAAATTGATCAAATGCCGTTTACTTGTGTAGCAAAATGACAAAGAGAGAAAGAGCACGGCTCACTTTCCATTTAATCTTAGTGTCAATACTCTCATCTGTAAAATGGAGAGAACAAAAGTCAAAATACATGGCTTGGGGGCTGGCAGATGGCATAGTGGTTAAGGTGCTAGGCTCCCACATGGCTGACCACGGTTTGAGTCCTGGACTTGGCAACTTGCTTTCTCACCCCCACCACGCGTGGTCAAATGTTTTAAAAATAAGAATAATAATAAATAAAATAAAATAAAATTAACCATTCTTTTTAAAAGAATGTGTAGATGTTGAGGTGCTAAATGAAAGTGTCTAGAATGATTTCTGACCCAGTGAGGACGCTTGTACATAAGGTCTCTAGCATCATCTTCCTATTCCAAAGCCTGGTTGGAAGGGGTACAACAATCCTTATTTACTGTTAGAGTGGCCGGAGTCTCCGAACCTGCCAGGGGCTGATGTGGGCCCAGCTCCACTTCCTAGAATCCAACTCGCACATTTCAAGTCCAGCTCCAGTCACTGTTCCAGTGACTCCTTGGAGAATCCTAAGAGTCAGGAAGTCTGGACTTCATGGAACTGAAAGTAGGGCAGCTCCTGGTCTCACCGTGAGCTTGCCAGTCCTCTGAGATGGGCCCACAGCTGCTCTTCTGCCTGCCTGAGCCTCAGAAATGATAACTGTAACTGAAGGGCTTCGGGAACCATACTGATTATTAAATAACTAAGCGGCACACATCGATGGAACAGCCACGGCCCCCCCTCTCACGGGACCCAGGCACCTCAGATCCTCTTTGGATGAAGGTGGAGATTAGTGGGTCAATGTGGAAACACTCACTTGATTCTCACAGTAACACACTGAGCAAGGCAAGGTAGAACCTGTGTCAAGTCTCTTGGGTTGAAATTATGGTGCAACCAAATACTCAAGGTACAGCTGAATACACTTAGATTCCGTTATTTCCCATTGTTTTCATTCAAAGAAAAATGTATAGATTAAAAAAAAAATTAGAATCATGAGCAACATGCCGTAGTCATGCTTTTACATATTTGTTCATGTGTCTGAGAAGCTTTTTCCTGTGTACGTGCTTGAGTAAACTGAGTGTCCCTGAAATCACAACAGCAAAATGATGATGTTCATATCTTGTGGATTAGCTCACATTTGCCTCCTCTCCATTTGCAGCTCTTTCTTCTAGAAGAAATGAGAGAGAGAAAGTATGATGGGTATGCTCGGGTAATACAGAAATCATGGAGAAAATTCGTGGCCCGGAAGAAATATGTCCAAATGAGAGAAGAAGGTATTTCAGTTATTTTGTTTCATTCATTTGATAAACTGAAGAGTAAGTCTGAGCTAAAATGAAGTTACACGTTTCATTTTATTTTACATATAATGTCATGTACTAAAAATCTCACACGTGGGTCAGCCTGTGGCACGGTTGTTAAGGTCACTGAATCCTCTATGGCCGACTGCTCGGTTCAAGTCTCAACCCAGTGGCTTGAGAAACAGGTTGGGCACGTGTGTGTATATGCCCAAAATCTCAAGAGGAGGGAGAGAGGGAGGAGGTGAGATTGTGGAATAACCAAACTCCACTGGGGAAGTGGGTGCTTTCTCATTTTTCTCTTTTTTTCCTCTCTCTCTCAGGCAAGCGCATGCCTTTTAGCAAAATAATTTTTCTTTTTTCAATCTTGAATCGTTTAGATTTCTTTGTGTATTTCCACACTATGTATTTTCGTCCTGTTTTGGCTGAGTAATCCTCCCTTCTCCACCCTGTTGGGAATTGTAGCCTCAGACCTTCTGCTGAATAAGAAGGAAAGAAGAAGGAACAGTATTAACCGGAACTTCATCGGGGATTACATTGGGATGGAGGAGCACCCGGAACTCCAGCAGTTCGTGGGCAAGAGGGAGAAGATTGACTTTGCTGACACCGTCACCAAGTATGACAGGAGGTTCAAGGTGTGTGCTGGCTGCCGGCCTCAGAGTCACTGAAGAGCCGCCTTATTTCTTTTTTATAAACAATCTGTCGTTTTGCTTACCAAAACAGGAAAGTGACCTATGCCCAGAAATAATTGCTCTTAACATTTTGAGTTTCCTTCAGAACTTTTTCCATGCAGCTGTATATTTGCTTTTTTAGTTTTCCAAAAGCGGAAATATTCAAAATATGTTTTATGTCTCTTTTTTGTTTTGGGGGGGTTTTGTTTTGTTTTGCTTTGCTTAAATTATACACCAGGGGGAGCTGACAGGTGGCATAGTGGTTGGGGGTGCTGGATTCCCACATGGCCTACCATGGTTTGAGTCCCAGACTGGGCGGCTTGCTTTCTCCCTTTTCCTTTCTCTCTCTCTGGTCAAATTAAAAAATAATAACAAATGGAATTAAGTAAATAGTTTAAAAAAACAATATACCAGGGAGAACTTTCTATATTAAGACATGTATCAATGTAAATTATTTTGTATAGTTACTCAGTATTCCATTCAGTACATGCATTGTTTCATTGTTAAAGTTCTGTCTTTCAGGAGAGAACGAGAGAGAGACAGTTACCTTTGACAGGGTCTCACCACACCGTGATTGTACTTCTAGACAGCTAGGGTCATGGGTGTGTCCAGTATGTTCAAGCAGACCTGGGATTTGAACCCGGAGCTTCTCATACAGCTTTAGTATCAGGCAGCTGCACATCACCACCCACACAACCGTTACTGGACATTTTTGATATTGTTTGGTTTCTGTCTAAGTTGACCAGGTAGTCTCGAACTCACAGTCATCCTGCCTCTCCCTCCCCAGTGTCTGGCATTACAGGCACGCACCACCACACCCAGCGCGTAATTATTTTTTATGCAATGTCTTATTAATTCAATTTCTTTCTGTTTGTTTGCTTGTTAACATAACTACAGTGAGCATCTTTGTGTGTGTGTCCTGGTGTTAATAGAATAAATTGAGAGGACTGGAAGAGGTTGTTCAGTTAGAGGATTCAGAATATCAAGCAATGTTGCACCGTATTTTCCCTGAGTACCTAAGTGCTGACTGACTACCTAAGGCTTTTGTAAAATCACTGGAAGAACAACAAAGAAGCATTTATGCTCGGGGCTGGCAGGTGACTTGGTGGTTAAGGGCGCTGGACTCCAACATGGCCGGCCGCACTTCGAGTCCCAGACCTGGTGGCTTGCTTTCTCACTCTCAGTCGCTCTCTCGCACATGCCCTCTCTGGTCAAATTTAAAAGAATAATAATAAGTACATAAATTAATAAAGTTAAGTAAAATAATTCTTTTTAAAAATAATAAACATTATCATTGAAATAAAAATGTAACAAAATTTCAGGGACTTCCAGGAAAATAAAAGTGGACTTCAAAAAGTTCAGAGAAAAGGCAAATTAAAGTATGAGCTTATTTTGGTGCCAAAAAAAAGAAAGAAAGAAACTGACCACCCGTGTGCAGTTTTTTCATGATGTACATTTTCCATGAATATTTTGAAGGTCCCTCATATATGCAAACATCTGAGAGATCCCTGTTTGAGAAATACGCTGCAGCACATCTGTGGGAACGTCACCATGTGGACTGGTTTGCCAGAGCTGTTTCTTTTTTTCTTTTTTTTTTTTTTATAGACCACAGATCAGTTTATTTTTAACACCCATCATGCCATGAATTCATAGGGAATAGGTTCCAGTAGCTCAGGCTCCTTTCCATTGGTTCTCACACAGTGGCTGCCATCGCGCGGAGCAGGCTGGCGCTTTAGTTGAACCCAGGTACCTTTCTCTTCGGCTTCTTTCTTTTTCTGGTCGTTTTCCTTCACACGTTTTAGGAAGCCATCTCTGCTCTTAGAATGCTTACTATGCTCAATACGCACATTAATTCTCTCTATCTTGCCCTTGTTTGTTCACAACAATGCCAACAGCATGCCGGGTAACATTGTAGAGTCGTCCAGTTTTGCCATGGTAACATTTGTGGGGCATTCCTTTTTGAACAGTACCCCTTCCCTTGATGTCTACAATATCATCTTTCTTGTAGATTCGCATATATGTTGCCAAAAGAACCGCTCCATGTTTTCTAAAAGGCCTAGAGAACATATATTGGGTGCCTCTC